ATGCTGGCATTATAGCCACTTTTCAAACTGTATTTATAAAAGTTTTATGTACATTTCTGTACATATACTATATTTCACATTACATGGTATTTGTAAAAATCATATGTAATGAAATTATAAAACTAACATAGGTTATTTTGCAGGGAAGGAATGATTCCATAAGGTTAAAAACAGTGTGGCACTATTATAAAATAAAAATAAGATCAACTCTAGCTAATAAAAGTTGTTTCCCACAGGTTAACAATTCTGATACTGCTATATGTACACTGAGATTGAATAATTAAGTAAACAGATGGTGGGTGGTAGTGGCAGATATTCCACTGTTGGAGAAGGAATTTACAGATAAGCAATGGGGGGAGAGGCTAGAATGATGCATTTGCTAATGGATCAGAGTTGAAGACCTTAGCTTAGTATAGTTATAGATGACTGCACTTGTGTGTGTGCGTGCACACGTTAGTACACACATATATTTCTTTGTTTTGTCAGCTGAGAGAGCCTAAAAGAAACACCACTCCAGTGGCAATGAGCAAACCTATCGCTCAGATCTTGGTTTCCAATCCCATTCTCCACTGACAGGAACTAGGGCTCGTTAGAGAAATAGCTACTTCTAAGGATTGAGGCAGGAAAGACACAAGGTGAGCATGGAGCACCTGCAGTGCCAAAAGGAAGGAAAGACTAAAAGCAAAAGAGCCCCCAGTGATGGGGTATATCAAAGGGACTGCTAACTAAAAGAGTCAAAGCTGAAACAATTTGAGCAACAAATAAAGTAGCATTGGATTGCAACCCCAAGTACAAAATAACTCCCTATGAGTCTATATTGATATGAATAAATGGGAGAGAAAAGACAAAGAATTCCAAATAATTTTTATAGCTACCTTACCCCAAAGGAAGGGAACCATAACACACCACTGTTTAAGTGGGGGCTGCATGCAGAGACTTCCTTCCAAAGAGCACAGTATGGAAAGGGTGGGAGAAGAGAGTAACTTCAAAGTGGAGAACCCTCCCACAAGGCACTTTAGCCAGTTAATCAATGTCAACAGCAACAGGCATAACTCAAGTGACGGTCTGCACTCTGCATATGACAGGGTCACAGTGGCCTCTCGCCTCTGTGATCTGACCCCCACGAACACAGAGCCCCACTCTCTTCACGAGAAAAAGAGCAGACGAATTTCAACAGAGGAGAATCCTACAATACCTGACCAATACTCCTCAAAACTGCCAAGGCCACCAAAATCAAAGAAAGTCTTAGAAACCATCACAGCCAAAAGGAGCTTAATGAGACATGACAACTCACTGTGATGTGGTACCCTGAAAGAGATCCTGGAACAAAAAAAAGAGGGGCAAAGTTGAGGAAATATGTGCAAAGTATAGGTTTTTGTTAATGATAACATATCAATATTGGTTTGCCAATTGACATGAATTTACTACACTATGTAAGATGTTAGTAACAGAGGAAGCTAAGCATGAGGTATATTGGAATGCTCTGTACTATCTTCATAATTTTTCTGTAATTCTAAAATGGCTCCAAAGAAACAGTCCATTAAAAAAATGTTCAAATGACATCAACAGATTGTCACAGCCAAGGAGGAGATCCCAGAAAGTATGCGACACTGGAATATGTTAGAAGGGATATTGCAAATCTGTATGGAAAGAATGAACTGAAGAGTAAGTGATTCCGGACAACCGGTGGTCCACGTGGAAAAATAAAATAAAATTAGATTAGATTACTGTCTCACTCCACATACAAACTACAGTTAGATTAAAATCTCAAATGTGTAAAAACAAATCTTTAAAATTATTAGAAGGAAATCTTAGAGAATCTTAGAGAGTAACTGCATGATCTTGGGATAGGAAAGGCCTTGGTAAGCAGAAGAAAAAAAGCATTAGCCTCATAGATAAGAGTGATTTCATTACAAAAAAAGGTTTTCAACTTCTATAGAAGACATGATACTATTTAAGGAAAAAAAAAAAAAAGAGAGACAAATGATGGACCAGAAGAGATAGAAGAAATGGTGTTCAACCTATAATGGTCCAAAGAATTAATATATAAAATACAAATGAAGAAATTCTGCAAATGAGTTAGAAAATGATAAACCAATACAAAAATGGGGAAAGGATGTGGACAGATAAATCACAGAGCAATGAATGGCAAATAAGCAAATGGAAACATGCTCCGTGGGAATGCACACTTAGCACTTAAGATACCATGTTGTTCCTATCAAGTTAGTAAAAATTATAAAGACTGATAATATTGAAATTGGCAAGAATGTGGGGGAAAGGGTCTTTAATGCACTGCCCATAGATTGTTAAGTGGTTTAACCACTATGGTTAATGTTTGACGGCCAGGTGCAGTGGCTCACACCCGTAATCCTAGCACTCTGGGAGGTTGAGGTGGGAGGATCGCTTGAGGTCAGGAGTTTGAGACCAGCCTGAGCAAGAGCGAGATCCGTCTCTACTAAAAACAGAAAAACTTAGCCGGGCGTGATGGTGCGTGTCTGCAGTCCCAGATGCTTGGGAGGTTGAGGCAGAAGGATCGCTTAAGCCCATGAGTTTGAGGTTGCTGTGAACTAGGCTGATGCCACAGCACTCTACCCAGGGCAACAAAGTGAGACTCTCTCAAAAAGAAAAAAAAAGATGCTTGACAACACCATTAAATGTGTTCCTCTTTCCTCCCAAAATATTTACAAAAGGTACAAAACCAGGGTTTCATTAACAGTAGTATGGTTCACTAAAATGTGAGGCTAAAGAAAACTATGCATTTGTTTAAAAGAATGAAGTAAATATATAGACATATACAGTGATAGGTAAACACACACAAGCACATACACTTTTATACACACACCATGGAAATATCTCTCCAAGACATATTGCTTGGTATAGGAAAAAGTTATAGAATAAACAGGGTATAATAAAATCTGTGATTAAAAAGGAAAAAAAGACTCAAAACAGTGTATTTATGTACATACATATGTAAGTATTTCATGTGCAGAAAACTCTTGAAGGCTACTGATCAAACAGAGAAAGAAATGAGATGGGGGAAGGGGAATGTTTTTATGTATTATCTGTATAATTAAAATTTTTTTTCTTTTACTTTCTGGCTGCAATGAGTCCGGTGCCTTTCTCCTGCTACATGAGCCTCTGACCTTCAATTATACTAACTCCGTTTCCCTGGAGACCTGACAATGGGGCATCAACGATATTGCTAAGCAACGCTGCTTATGGAAAAATGAGCCCTGACTGGTCAACTGCTCTGAACTGGAAGGAACTAAGAAAGGACTATAAACATCTGTCACGTACACATATTTTGGGGCTTCCACAAATGCAGTGACTCTTGGAACAGGCATGTCTTCTGTGCCTGACTCAAACTTTGTGGGGACATAAGGTTAAAAAATATTGCAAAGCAAAGTGTCAGTCAGATAGGCACTTTAGATTTGCACTAAGTGAGAGAGCTATGTGTGGGAAAGCCCTTTCTAAATCCTAAATAGCCTATGCCATTTTTCATGACTAACACCTAAACTGCCTTATAAACTATAAATACTCTGTTTTAATCATCCTTCGAGTTATTTGTAAGCAACAATATTTTGCATTCAATTAAACTAAGGCATTTTGGGTGAACAGCAAGGTTTAAAAGGTATTCATTACACAAATGTAGTAAATTTATGGTTCAAATAAATTTTATCTATAATTTCCCAAACCACTATGGAAAGTTAAATCACTCATTTTTATATAGTAGAACACAATGTGGGACTATATAAAAACTAAAAAGAAGAAAAAAAATTTTTCCAAAGGAGCTGGCTTCCAAGTTTAAGTCTTGAGAAAGAAAAATTTTATATAATTTAACAATCAAAACTTCTTCCTGACAAAAGCTAATCCTCAGTGTAAATCACAGTGGAAAAAAAAATCATTCTTGATGAATAAAAATGAGACAAAACTTGCCAGAATATGAGTATGGATATGCCTGAAATAGCAAAGAATGATACTTGCTAATAGTGCAAATGAAAGTGCCAAGGTAACGTTAATAGGAGACGAAATTAAATTTGCAATTCAGCTTTTTGGAGATTACGGGGCCCGTAACTGTAATGGCCAGTCTGAGACAGCAGCTGGCTAAAGGACAGTATCAGCCGACTTCAGTAAGCGTGGTGCAACACCAAAAGAGTTCCTTTCTGTCACACTCTGCCACCGCTTCTTTCGAGGAGTGCTAACACTGCCTGGCACAGCCCCCAACCCCACTCACAGTAATAGTTCTTAGAGGCTTCCAAGACCCTACACTTAAAAAAAGTGCTGATTCTGGGGAACTCCAGAAGAGGACCTCAAAGGGCATCTACCATGACCACCCCCACCTGCTGAACCAGATCAGAGAGGGAGGAACTTGGATTTTAACATGGGTATGTAAGCAAGTGTGTTTTCTCCCTTTTTCAGAAATATTTATTCTATTAATATAGATCTCTAAGTCCTACAACTAATAATAAGGTTAAATATGTTTGTTAGTTTTAATTGAATTCCTTAATGATGTATATCATTTTGGGATACTTTTTACCTCTGGTAACAGGAACAAAGAAAATGGAGAAATGGGGTAGGGATAATGTTTTATTCCTTAAAGGAAAAAAGAGAGAGAGAGACGTGTAAAGCAGGTGTGGCCAAAAGTTCCTGTCTGTCTCTGTGAGAAGGGTGATATGGGTATCACTGCATTTGCCGTACTTTTCTACATGTTTAAAATACTTAACTGTTTTAAAATTAAACGCATGGCATTATTCCAAAAGCAAGGTGGTAGCAGAGTATTGGCATGAGTCATCACTACCTGGAGAAAGAAACAGTCAGTCAAGGTCCTCCAGTTACTTTTATCTAGAAAGACACATTCTGAGTTGATTTTATGCCCCCCGTGTTGGTTACAGAAAAACAAGCAAGACCTGCTTACACTCACTTAGAGCAGTGTTGTGTTTCACCGTGAGCGAGATTTCAGTGAGGATGGAAGGAAACCTGCCCCCATTGGGATCACATACCTGTGTCACTACCAGATCCTGTTGACAAAGCCGGCATGGTGCAGGATACAGGCTGGGACGCCGCCCTCAGAAAGCCGCAGGGAATTCCAGTCAAACGGCCTGCAGCCACGTGTCTAACAAGATTTATGTATCTTGTGAGCTGTTTCTAGAAAGAAAAGAAACACTTCTTTTTAAAGAAAAGAAATATCACTAAATTACAACATTCTGTAACTAACTCAAAATTCTTATTCCAACACAGTACCAGAGAGATCATGATGCTTTAGAATTTTTTCTACAGACTACATGCCAATATTAAGTATAAAAGTTTCTGATTTTGGTGAGAGATTTCTAAATTGAAAACATGAATGTTCTCCATGCATGTGGAAAGGCTTCCTTAAAGATTTTTACATTTGGGTTGAGGAACACTGATTGCATAATGAAAAACTTCAAGAAGCTTCTGTAAGTCAATTCCCTTCTAAACTTCCTTCCCCGTTACCGTAATTCTCAGCTATATTTCTAAATGTAGAATGGAGACTATACAAATTGTCAGCAATTTATAACTAATTGGATTTTTAAAAATAGCTCATCCTAATATGAAAATTGCACAGCTCTCCTACTATAGACTGCAAATAACTTGAAAGAATATTTATTGGAGTTGACAGAAGATATTATAGATTTACAGTGTTAGTAATCTAGACTAAAGTGAACAATCCAAGCTAACACACGTAAGTGAATTCTTTTAGTAAAAACTAAGCTTTGAGGTATCTGAGAAAATATCAACATTTTTTTCAATAACTAATGTTTATCCCCAAATAAATAGGGAAGTCAGTATAGTATAGTATAGCAGCTAAGAGCAAGTGCTTTAGAGTTTGGCTTAATCGCTAATCCTGCCAGCCCTGTGATCTTGGAAAAGTTATTAAGCCTTAACTTCCTTCTACGCAGATGGAGACAACAGTATTTAGAACTAATTAAATATGGTAAGGCATAGGACACAGTGTCTGGTACACGGTAAATAAACAATAAATGCTGGCTATTATGATTAAGGTTTCTTTAATTCAGGTAATGAGAGTATAAAACTAAAACATAAAAGAAAAGAGTGCGATCAAAATTTACATTGGCCTAACAGCCAGGAGGAGGCCACGTGGTTTCAATTTGAATCACTGCTGCCTAATAACGGAAAATGCACTCCATTAACGTTTCTGTAGAAATCAGAAGAACCACACAATGTGTTTAAGTTCATTTTTAATGCATTTTCCCAAATTCTCTATAAAACAAGTTCAGTAATTTGAAGGCTTATTTTAACATATATTAATGATAAGAAAAAAAGATAATGTAAATAAGCAGAAAACCTGGCTCACATCACTTCTTAAAGCCTTCAAGTTGCTGATTCGTATTATAAAGAAAAATAAGCTTCCCAAATTTTACTTGAAAAAACTCCAAACTTCAAGATTCTATTAAACCTTTCTAAATTAGCTTTTTAATTGTCAAAGTGAAAGTTAGTATAAAAAAATTCATCATCAAATAAACTATCTTGAATTTAGCTTTATATTATTATAAAGCCTGACACAGTGAAAACTGCATATAAATCCACATAGAAGTGCTAATTAAAAATGAGGACAGTTATTCCAAATAGCAAATAAAAATATAAATCACTAAGCTAAAAATGAAAAAGTGATATAGGCAAGGTTTCATTAATGTCCACCTCTGAAGCCATTTTCCCCAATAATTTTAAAAGATAACTTTGCTTTGCTTTCATAAATTATTCTATTGGGATTAAAAGTAAACTACATGAAAATGTCCCTTAAATAAAGCAAGGCCAAAAATTAAGCAATTCAAACACAAAGTCAAAAACAGAGCATATATAATTTAAAGAACGCATTCAATTACTAGACATTTGTTTTGCTGATAAAAAGGAAAACCGGTTAAAATCTGTAAAATGTATGCACACACATCTGCACCATTAGAGTAATACATATTTACGTGTATAGGAAGGTATTTATTGTATATATGTATGCATATATGTAACTTAAGCTCTTTATGCTACAAGAAAAGTCATAATTTATATGGCATAAATTGCACATATACACACACACACACACACACACAAAATACAATCTATACCATGCGCTCTACCACTTTCTTCATGGCTTAAAGAATTTACAACATTTTACTTCTGTAAACCACATATCCCACATAATAAGCCAAATTATGCTTGTATCAAACAAAAATTAAAATTTATTATCATCTGGAGCATTCACATTCCACTAACACTAAAGAAGACCTTACATTGGTACACTCTTTTGAGCTGATATTGCTGCTATATACATGTGCCATATACGAAAGGCCTTAGTATTTCTCATAATGAATACTTAATACTAAATTTTTCCAAAGCCATATTATTTACTACACAGTAATTTTCTCAGAACATATACAAGTATATGAATTAAAAAAATGTTTTGATAGAATCCTAACCAGTAAAATACTTAATATCTTGTGGAACGAAGTAGAGTTGCTGGGTTTAACTTCCAAACTGAGTTAAATTTTTGTAGTAATGATGTTATTTTCTTTGGCTAAATTTATTGAAAATGCTTTGGAATTTGTCAGAAACCAGCCATAATTATTACTGACTGTTGTATGGAATCGATTTACTACAACACAAAAATACCAGCTGTTACAGTATGTCCTGAGAGGGATTACCGAATATTCTTAAATTGAAGTTCAATCCATCTTTCCATAAAAAAGAGAAAAGCCCAAACGCCAGGAACATAACTGCAGTATCAAGTGCACCTGAAGCATTTACAATACCCAACAGAACTATTACAACCTTCCTTTAAAAAGGCTTATTTTTGAAATTTCATTATTCCAGTTGTACCTTGCTTCTATATATCACACTGTATCAGGTTCCTCTGGCATCGATCATGTGGAAACAGTGAAATATGTGAAGGTCTAAGATCTCACAATGTTCAATCTCTGCCCGCCCAGGGTAATCCTTAATGCTCCCGTGGCACTCGTGACATCTAGTGGTCAGCCACAGAAGTGCAAGTGTTTGGAGTGGCAAGTTTTTTTAGCTTTCAGTAAAGCAAAAATTGACTTAATTCCACCCAGTGAAATAGTCATCTGCAAAATTTTTTATTAATGTGAACATGCACAGTTAATTTAGATGAACAAAAAATCAAGTAATTTGCAAACACATTTCCTCTCTATTTGGGTGTTCAGGACTATGAAAACTTTTAATTGTCATCATAAACTATTAATATTTAATAATTATATTAGGAGCCTATCCTTTCCAAAGGTAATAACTGTGCTCAGTAATCCAACTGTAGATTATTTCATCAGATAAAAATACTCTAAAGTTATATATTCAAAATCTAATATAGCAAGAAGATAAATAGGAGTAAATTTTTTTATAACCTAATATCACAGATTTTTTTTTAAAAAGCTCAATCTGAAAGATTCATCACATTAGCCAAGGCAAGCAGCAGATTGATATCTGTTAACATTATTTGAACCTTTGTAAATTATAATTGTAAGAATATAAAGGAGGCAACATACAGCCAAGTGGCATAAATCTGCTTATATAAGATGGTATTTATACCTTTTATACCAGCAGTTCTCAAAGTATGATCCACACATCCCTAGTGGTCTCCAAGACCCTTTCAGAGGGGCCCATTGGGTCAAACTATTTGCGTAAAAATACTGACAGAAGGACTGAGATGTGATCTGCCTTTTGCACTGTGCCAACATTTGCACTGAGGGTGGAAAGCAGTGGTCGTGGTCTGTAAAACCACTGACACCCAAGCATGAGTCAAGACACTCGCACCAAGGTGAGCCATCCACCGTGATATTCTCCACTGCCAGCACACTCACTCAGAGGACGAGGACGAGAAAAGGTTCACTTTAGAATATCCTTAAGGAAGTCATAAAAAGTAGTAAGCAACTGCCTCTTGAGTACCCATCTTTATAACCTTCTGTGTGATTAGATGAGAAGTACACATGAAGAACTGCTGCTGTACACAATGCAAAGGCCGTCTCAAAAAAATACCTGTGCGATGATTTGGGTTGTGAACTGAACTAGGCGCTTTTACCATGGAGCACCATTTTTACTTAAAAGAACAACTGAAAGACAAACTACGGTTATTCAAGCTTGGGTATGTGGCAAATATTTTCTTGAAAATGAATGGTGTCCGTGACTTCAAGAGAAATGACGAATAGCATGTGTTGCTAGTGATGAAACATGAACTTCCAAGCAAAAATTAGAATTTTACAAACCTTGCATCCACTACAGGCTGTCCTCTCTTTGCACGGTAGGTACCATGTTAACCAAAACACATGCATGCTGGAAACAAGTCCCCACTATGCAGAGGTCTATCAGCTTCCCAATACCCGAAGGCTCTTCTGAGAAGATCAACAGTGATATTAACAAATGACTGATACTGTGTCAATATTTGGAAAATCTGCATAATTTAATGAACCAATATCTTCCAATTTTCTAGTAACGTATTAGAAAATCATGCATGAATATGATCCATTCAAAGCTCAGGACAGACAATGAATTTAAAGTTCCAAAATAATAATTTTATTTACATATTTTCAAGATTCTACACTACAACTCACCCTTAAGAAACTGCCATATGTCTTGGTGTATTACCAAAGAATATCCACAAGTAACTGAACAAGTTATTAAAATATTTCTCCCTTTTCCAACTACAGATCTGTGTGAGGTCGAATTTTCTTCATATCCTTCAACCAAAATATATAGCAACAAACTAAAAGTAGACATAGATACGAGAATATAACTGTCTCCTGTTGAGTGAAGAATTAAAGAAATCTGCAACTCACTAATGGTTTTGTTTTGGGAAAAAGTTATTTTTCATAAAAATGTTATTTATGTTAACATGTAACAAGTTTAATATTGTTACATTTAAATGAATTAAAACAATTTTATCTGTTTTAATTTCTAATATGTTAAATATTGCTCAATATAACCCACTTAATCAAAACTCTTTAGAATCTTCAATAATTCTTAAGAGTCTAAAAAGATCTGGAGACCAAAAATGTTGAGAATTGCTACTCCATGCCAAGGTTTGGCAAACATTTTCTTTAAAGGGCCAGACA